TGTTGAAGATATTTAAAAACAACTCGTACGCCCGGAAAAAATAACCACACCACAAAATGAAACAATTGTCTACAACACAACATTATCTATCCGCAGCAAAAATTAGACCAGTCCATACTTGACCAATGTAAACATGGTACGCATTATGAAAAGGACATGCGCAGTGAACAAACAAGAACGCCAATATATCCACTGCACCACTGTGTACACATGCGCCACTGTTGCCACTCTGACCCTACTTCAATGAAATCCTTTAACAAAATACAATTTTTTATTTTATTGATCCTGATCAACTGTATACTGTATGTGATATTAATAAAAAGAGAATACTGTTTTATGTTATTTTTTATTCTCCTATATACACTATTATGAGAAAAAACATTGCATCCCTAGAAAATATAAATTCACTGAATAATGCACCTTAGAATATGGACAGCTGAAGCAATAGACATTTAAAAAATATATCTGGAATAGTCTCAAATCACTATGAGTTGCATTAAATTCATAACTTTTTGCATTTTCATTTGTTTTTTTATATTTTTATATTTTCCATTTTCTTAAACTCACTGTACCCTTTACTATAAATCTTGTTTGTGATTTTAAGAAATAAATAAATTATTAAATTTATTGGTATAATAAATATATTTGTAAATAATTAAATTTTTAAAAAATACAAAACAATTTACTTTTGGTAATTACCCATACTTATGTAGGTGTAAATATTTTGTGACTACAAGTTGAAAAAGTTGTCGTAATTCTAAAAAAAATTTATTTTTAGAAAAAATACTAAGGGCCAAAAAAGCTTCAAATGAATCTGTTAAACCAATGGCGCCACAACTTATTTTTAAAGTAAGAAAAAGATCCACATCAAATTTTAATGTGTTCAGTAAAAGATTTATCCAAATCAGGATAAAAACTGCATGAACTGAAAAAAAAAATCTTTAGATGTTTGTGTCATGTTAGAAGATGCTAGAAGGCACTTGAGTACTAGATAAATATCCAGGAAACTTGATATTTCGCAAACATCCGTAATGATAATAAATTTCATTCATACAAAATAAGGTAGGTTCAAGAGTTGTCTGATGAAGATTTTAATAGACGTGTAGGGTTTGCAGAAAATTTTACAATCGAAACGATCCAAATTGTTTTAGTAATATTATGCAGAGTTGGATAGTATCCAGATACTTCTGTATCCAAGGTGTAATTAAAAAATATCTCGCCAAATCAGCTTAGATAAAAAAAATGTAAAATTAAAAGATAATATAGAATTTCGTGTAAAATGTCTCTTCAAAATTTCATTTAAATCGCTTGACAAATAAATATAAATAAAATCAGCGGGGTATTACTTCCATTTGATAAAAATATTAAAAGTAAAATGATATAATAATAGCTGAATAATTGTATGTGTTATATTGTACTCATACATGTATGACGTTGTTGCTCATAATGATCATGTGTTATTTATGTCGTCATCAACATCAATAAAGTATATAGATTACTACAGATTTGACAAGATTAAATATACGAGCCTGCTTTGCCTATGCCAGAACGAAACATTCAGAAATCTCTCACTCCTCCTCCTTTCGACGCTTTCGACTCTACCAAGTAGCGCTCGTTGGAGGATCCGCAAAAAATGGATTGTCGAATACATCTGACACTGACGAGAATATCGAAAGGTTGTACAAACATGGCAAGTGGCGCCAACAACGAGCTTATTTCTTTAGATTTATATGGACACGACACTGGCTAGTTTTTTTACAGAATAAAAATAATAAACAATTTATTGAGTAGTTTTTTCCTGTTTCTATTATATCGCTTTCCATTTTCGATCATTTATTTATGCCTAGTATTGTTTATTGTTATTCGTAATCATTCTTATTGCATAAGTATAACAATTGGTATGAAAACATTATTTTAACTCACTTTAAAAGTATCCGTAAGAGTATCCCTTAAAGTATCCGAAAAAAGTATCCGGGTACTTGTACCCGAGTACGTTTTAGGTGAAAGTATCCTAAAAATTATCCGGATACATTGTAAGTATCCGTATCCGGTACTCGGATACTTTTTTCCTGTATCCGACCCAACTCTGATGTTATGTTTTGCGATGATTACACTTTTTGTAATAATGGAAACGTAAATCGGCAAAATTGTAGATACTGGACACGTAACAATCCTCGTTGGATGGTGAATCCCACACCTAATATTCAAAAAAATTTAATGTATGGGCTGGAATAATAGGCAACAAAATAGTTTCACTGAAGGAAACTTAATTGGTCCGGCGTATTTAAATTTATTGGAAAATAGTATTATACATGAGTTGGTTCGGTTATTTCCAAATCCAAGTAAGTATTTTCATTTACATTTGAATGTAGAAATTTCATTATTTGACACTTTCAGACAATAACAATATCCCAAACGACAATATTTGGTTGCAACAAGATGGTGCTCCACCTCAGTATGCGCGTGAGGTGAGGCAATACCTAAATAATGTGTTTCACAGAAGATGGATTGGAACGCGAGATTTTATCGAATGGCCCCCTCGATCACCCGACATGAATATTTTAGACTACTTCCTGTGGGGTCAGTTAAAAACCATCGTTTATGAAACAAAACCTGCCAATATTCAGGATTTATAAGATATAATTATCACAGAGATAAGATGAATTGAGCAGTCAAGGATGTTGCAAAAAGTATTGCTGTAATCGCCTTTACTTTATGTTTTCTAAAGTTCCTAATTTGTATACTACTCAAATGTGAATTTACTTTTAACATAACACATACATTTAAAGATTTGTCTTCAGTTGCTATTGGTTTTCTGCGCTATGATTTGAATAATTATTTTTTTCTACACCCACATTGATATTAGCATATATAGATTACAAAACGAAAAAGTATGCTATTGGTTTCAACTGAACGAATATATTTCATATCCATTCTAGGTAGTGAGAACACTGCAAAAAAAATGAAATCCACCAATCACCGTTCATATTTTGATCAACCGACTGCTATTATTTTTAAAATTTTAAATAACTGACAATTCTGTCAAACTAATTGTCAGTATATTTTTTAGTTATTGAGATTAAACATACCTCAAAATGGGTTATTCTTGTGTAGAATCCATAAATAATAGCATTTCTGTTTTTATTTCGTCTTTAATTACAAATAATTTGTTAATTTAAATAAAACTATATGAAGTCAGTTTAATTACGAGTATTAAAACAATAAAAATAAAAGAATAAGTGGTCCTGTGGTAGCGTTCTTGCCTTCTACACGAGAAGACTCGAGTTCGATTCTCGGATAGGGAATAATGAAATGAACTTTTTTTTCGTTTATTTTATATTAAAAATTGTCATAAATCATTTTAAAATTATTTATTTTATCTTAATAACCTAAAATACATTTTTTTTTGTAAATTTTCGTTAATGGGTCGTAGAAAAAATATACTGTACAACTCGAGTGGATCGTCCACATCGCACTCAGACGAATGAGCACTTCGCCTACGGCGTCGTGCTCAAATTTCGTCTTCGCGCAATATGGCCATCATATCCACTCTTGTTGCACAAACTACTATTACTGTACTAGTTTCGTTAAACTTTTTTACTAATTTACTGACATTAGACCTTGTTACGAGATTTCTGTTATAATATAGATTATTAAAGATTATTCAAATTGAATGAGTTTATTTAATCATAGCCATCTTAATTTATTATTTTAACTTCCGCGGAGATAATGTAAATGTAACTGTAACTCCTAAATTATAGCATTTAGGTATAGGGAACATTACATGAAAAATAATCAGTATTTGTTAAGGATTTCAAAACACTAAAAATATATGGGGTGACCCATTTGAAATAACGAAGTTCATTATATTTCCAGAAAACCGAAAGATCTGACAATAAAGTAAATACAACCATAATATCGGCCGTATGACAAAACCTTTACATACAAAAGTATATAAAAATCGTGCAAGCCATTTTCGAGATAATTGAGACGTTCCGTACTTAAAACTCATTAGGTAATTTAAGTCTGAGTGACCTATTTTCGACTTCAAAATCGTTTATGACCTACATTTTTAATACAATGTATAGTGCCAACTGTCAATACATATGAATCTTCGAGAAACAATTAAATAAACCCTACTAATAGAAACACCGGATTTACTAGCAACTTTTTTTAAAATTACATTTATTAGAGGGAAATTGAAATAATTACTTTTGATGCTCGCTTACGAAATGCAAAATAATTTCCCAATGAAGTATCAAACAACATTTTTTAGAATTCCTCAGTTTAAAAATTACTTAAAAGATAAGAAGAAAAGTGTGACATGTACAATAATTATTATTTTATTTGGCATGTATATCATCTACAAAAATACATATTTCAATAAATGTTCTTCGACGAGTCAGTAACAATAGCAACGTAACAAAAATTATTGAATTTCTTAAATTGATGGCATTTTATTCAATAATTTAATCATTGAAATTGAAGAAAAACATGTAACGTTTTCAGGGAATTAAGAAGATTTACTATATGAATGAAGTTCCTGAAGCAGCGAAAATTGCAATTTATGGATTTAATATGATTGAAACAATCAGGCAATATAAGCTTGCTTATAAAAACTTTATAGAATGTTGTTATAATTATAAGAAATAAAAAAAAATTCTATAAGTGTGATATTGGCATATTTTAAATGTAAAATTATGAAAGTGCAACCGACACCGTTGAATAAAATTTAAAATTAAACCTTAAAAAAAATGATGAATAGTTAAATGGAGTATTAATGATGAATTGATTGTTAAAATTTATGTTTTTGTTGGAAAACAATCGTGAACTGCTTCTATCAACGAAAATTTCAGAGATTTTTACAGGTGGGTGTAAAAGTCATTTACATCCTAGGCTTTTACGTTTTGTAGACCAAAACTGTTGGTTTTACACTCAATAAATATTAGTCCAACTTTTAGTAACAGTTTTCAGAAAACAACATTCGTACAATATCTTACCGGGTGCTAAAAGATCATGTATATGTTGAGGTCTAACTGCTCTAGCTTCTCTAATCGTACTTTCAACAAGAGCAGTGTCATCGTTCTGTTCCTGCATCAATTCGTCATAGGGAAAACCAAAACCTACAGGAAAACTAATAGCGAAAAGCACAATCACTACAACACATCCCATTTTCCACATGTTCCTCTAATCTTCTAAAAACACGCGAGTAATTTTTAATCCAAGAAGACTCCGAACCGTTAAATACTTTGCTTAATTTAATATCGAATTTCGTACCTGAGATTTATTTATAAACCATCATCATTGCTTTATTTCAATAATAGTGGAAATATTGTATCAGCTGTGGTTTGTCATTGCATTGCACAAGAGTTATAATAGATTTAAGTTTTGGTTTGTGGTTAGGTGTAATGCAATTGAAATTAGACTAATTTGATATCTGTGGCGTAGTCATAAGAAGGTACGTTTTTTTTGTAGTTTTTCTGTTTAATTTAAAACAATTAAAAAATTACTTCTAGTATGAATTATGAAGTATTTTTTGCTCTTTTAGTTAGAATGACAACGACTATAGAAGTTTGTTCAACAAGAGTGGATTTGATGGGCATATCACAGGACCCCAAAATAATATACAGGGTATTCCATATAAAATATATAAGGGTGGCTATAGGGAGGTACATGAGCAAAAAACCCCCTTCTTTACAAGAATATTTCAAAAAACATGCAGTGTATTTAGAAGACAACGAATTTTACTAATATTAATGTGTATCTGTAGCGAGTGTAGGGTGGGTTAACCCACGGCACTGAGGCCTCACTAGGCCCATTGTGCAACCTTCTAAGCAGATAGGCACCTCTTAGCTCGTGAGTCAGTCTACAGATTTAATGTAGTTGAAAACAGCGCTAAGAGGTGCTTCTCTTATTTCGGACTGTATTAGTCAATTCGCGCCGAATACAAATCTTCTAGTAAGAGCGTCGGGCAATCGTATAAGATATGCTCTATGGTCTGATTTCCTTTTTCGCACATCCTGCAGAGTGCGGATTCTTACAGACCCATGATATGGAGATGCTTCCGTACTTGTCAATGACCAGTCCGAATGCCTGTGATTAGGCGCAGATTCTGTCTAGTCATAGTCAAGTAATGATTTGCTGTAGTGTTGTTAGATTAACTTAGAAGCTCCCTGGCAAGTCTGCAGCTTCTTGTTGTATCTCATATTTCCTTGAATTTCACAAAAGGATGTTCTTTATTTAAGTTTGTCACTATTGATGTTGTCAGTCCAATAGAAAGACCAGATCCAAAATGCATTTGGTTGGCTGCCTTCTTGGCTAGTGAATCAGCAAGACGGTTACCTTTTGATGTGGCATAATCGTTGTTCCATCTTAAGTTAACCACGTTATTGATGGATACTTCGAACGAAGCTCTGTGACATTCTAGTATTCACCCTGAGTAAATTCAAGGCCTGTCCAGGGTGAGTAGTGCTTGTCTGCTCGCTGTGTGGATGAGCATGTTTTTTGCAGTAATGTTATTTCTGGTTATTTCTTTTGCTGCTATGTGAATCCCCTTGAGCTCTATTTAAAATACACTGGCACTACTGCTCACAGCCCATTTTATGTTTAGGTTTGGGGATCCGAAGTATATTCCGCATGCTGAGCCTTGTTTTGTTTTAGATATGGTGTAGATATGAATCTTCCCTACCACTTATAACTTTATATGGCTTATGGTAGATTTTTCTCTTGGAGCAGTGAGAGCCACAGTGTATCAACTTTTATTGTCATCAGCCGGATTATGCCTAATAGAGGCGAGTAGAAAAATACTGTGCAACATGGTGGAATCCATAATGATGTATGGCTCTACTACATAGCAGCGAGCCATTCACAAAAAGGTTTACAGGGATAAGCTCCTAAGTGTTCAAAGAAGAACAGCTATAAGAATGGTCAGTGCATACCGGACAACCTCAACAAAAGCCCTGCTGGTTGTAACAAGAACACCGCCTATAGACTTACTGGTAAAAGAAAGAAAGCTAATGAGACAAAATGTACAAAAAAGAGACGCTCGCAAATTAATAGTAGATAAATGGCAAGGGGTGTGGGAAATCAATGATGGGAAATCAAACTGAACACAGCGGCTAATAAGAGATATAAGACCATGGATCAATAGAAAGTGTGGAGAGGTCAACTTCTACCTGACCCAGATCTTGTCTGGACACGAATGATTTCAGGCTTCTTATACCGGTTCAAACTTAGCCAGACAAATGAATGCCAATATTTCAACTTGCTGAACACACGTTCTTTGACTGTGAAAGATGGATTGAGATTTGGACAGAAACTATAAATAAGATAGGAGAACTGACACTATATAACCTAGACTGGAAGACAATATATAAGATGGCCATGATAATCATATCCACAAAAATGAAAGAAAGAATACAAGAAGAAAGGTAAAAAACAACATCTAGCTCCGCGACCTATTTGAAGTAATGCTCGACGGCAGTCCCAAATAGGTTCCTACTCAGGCGATGGGGTAGTTTTAGTGGGTATACCGACTTTGCACCCTTCAGGCGGAATTCCCACACTACCAGGTAAGGGCAGAACCATATGGCTGGTGTTTGTAATGGATTCCCACCCTAATAAAAAAAACATTACTACTACTACTTTTTCAGTATTGATAACCATGTAGTGCTCATAGTTCGGCTATGGGAGGGTTCTATCACGCTGCTCTATACGTCTATCATTTGAATGGGGACCCTGTATGATTTTTCTAAGTGCTGTCGATGAACTCGTCAACGTGAGACCATGCCGAGAAATGTGGTCGTTACAAATTTCACTTATCAGTCCCGTTTTTAACAATTATTTTTCGCATTTACTACCTACCGAATTCAGAAGTATGTAGGAGATCATCCTGGCCTTTCTTTCCAGTCAAATGTGGAAAAGGGTTAGATTCAGCATGATTTCTATGGTTTTCGTCGATTTGGTTGAGATTCCTGCAGTGATAGCGATACACGCAAGCCGCTAGATTCCAGCCATAATATTAGGTTTATTCTAACAAGGTTCTAACTTGATACATAACCATTTAGTAACGGTACAGCCTATGCGTATTAAGGCGGGTACAGATCTGAGCACGTACGCGTATGAGGCAAGCCGAGGCCGAACCGAATGCCTCGTGCGACGCATTTTGTATACGCGAATGGTGGACGCCACTGATCGCCACTGATCCAGTAAATTCGCAAGCACACAACCGTATACCCAAAACATTCGTAAAATTAAAACAAAAATGAAAGATGAGGATGACGTCACGGAGTTTAGTGCATGTTTTATTTTATTCGACACATTAAAGAAAAAAGGAAAGAAAGGAATCGATGGTCGATTTCCTGCCAAGGATATTCTTCTTTTATGGTGTTGTAATAGAACTGGTGCTTTGCTCTCTTAAGATATTACATTGATTATTTAAATCCAGGAGAAATAAAACGTTTTGCTGGTTCCACTCTATGCAAAATAAATCCTAAAAACTCGCTATAATCTGTACGGTGCTATATGGTACAAATTCTCCGTCCAGATTGAGCACGTACTGCGCACTGCCTCCCTTTGATGTACCGCTAACAAACGGATCGGAGCTAGGCGGTACGGCGCACACAAAGAGGCAATTTGCCGCGCCTCGGAAGCCCGTCCACATCTGCAAGCTCATGCGTCTTCGACTTGCCTCATAGGCGTACGTGCTCAGATCTGTACCCGCCTTTACACTCCAAGCGTTCCAGCTTAATTTGTACGATGTGCGGGTTAATACAGAATTCGTTCCAACTAAAAAATGGATCGTTTCTGTACCGTCAATCGATTTACAAATTTTTGTGGAACTGTTAGACCTGACTTGCGCAAAGCGATCGATATATGTTGATAGAGGTTAGTTTTAGTTAACTTCCTACAAATTTACAGCATTTTGAGGTTTTGATAAATAGATAAGAACAAAATATTTAGAGAATACTGTTCATAAATCATATTCTTTGGGAAAATGAGTGATATAGAAGTGATGAATAATTTTTTTGATGATGATACTAGTGACGATGATTAAGAATTAATGGTGAATCAAGAAAGGATAAAAAACAAAAATTAGTTGCACAGAATATATTAATTATTTACCAATATTTTCCATTGTGCCCTAGAATATAGAATGATAAAATGAAAAATCATTAACATCCATAATTATAAAACAGAAAACTATTTTATTTTCTTTTCGAAAAATTTGGTTAGAATTTTCTTTCTTTTTTATTTTCTCTATTAATGTACCATCAACAGTTTTAAAAGCATTCCAACTCCTTTCCGATTCCAAAACCATTCAGAGATGCGTTTGCGCAGTACATCGTTCATGAACTGATGTTGGTATGATACAAGAACAGTACCAAATACCAAGTTGGAATAAACCTTATGATTCCTATAAAACTATTGTGATTGAATTAATAAGTTTTATTTTGATCTTTTATTAATGTTTCTTGTAATTTTTGTATTTTATCAAAAACTGCTATTTATTTATTTTAATTAACCCTTTCAATTTTCGATAAAACATAAATATTTACACTTACAACAAATGATAAGATTCTCTCTTTATCGTTCCTGGAAAAAACCGTATTATGGATTATTGTTTTTAAATTTGTCATGTTTATTTTTTGATATAAATGCTATAATAAACTCTCTCCGTATTAAAGACGAACGTCCATGCAAATGAACCATTAGTTATTACAATTAAATAACTGTAATTTTCTGTTACTGATCTTATTTGAAATGGTTTCTCTCGAGAGGCAAGCAGCCTTAGATTTCAAACATTATCTTGCAAAATATTATTAGTTGTTTTTTGTCTGACCAATATTGCTGCTTCGTTTTTTGTCAGACGAAAGAAAGGTATAATTCTCCGGTAAAAACAATCAATGTAAAGTGAGGCAATAGATTCCGCGAAGATAGAAATACTTATATCACAATGACGGCTGACATACTTATGAAAAAAAGTCGATCGCTATAATAATAACTAATTATTATTGTTATGGGTAATTTCAAAAGAAATATTATAGTCACAACGTTTAGACTTGCCAAAATTATAAGTAACTGGATAAGAATTTGTACTTTTTTTACTTTCATCTATTGAACGTTTACGAGAACTTAAATTTTATAATGGATTGCACATAAATATATTTTTGAAACTGCTCTTATGCAATCGTCAATTCTAGACATAGAATCGATGTTTGAAATATCAGAATATGGAATTACGGTATATTTTATGTGAATAATATACCGTGAGGCTCAAATTTTTTAGATTTAATGCTTGATTATACAACTAACACTTTAAAAATTGATGAGATAAAAATGTTATATTAGTTATATTAGTACTTCTATTTTATAATAGTTTTTAATAAGATA